CCCACAGCCGCCTCGTGCGCGCGTCCGCCCGCTGACAGGTGGGGCCCTCCTGTCAGGTCGTTGTCCACCTCCGGCCGCCCGCCGCCCGAACCCTAGCGCCGCGCCGCCGTCGTCTCTTTCCAAATTCAGCCGCACCTTTCCTTCTCCAGTGAAATCAATTGAGGGGAAATGTTTCCCGAGATCTCCTCTACCTTTTCCCTTTTGGAAACATCGTCTAAATCGCTTTGGAAATTCGCGGATTCGATCTTGAATCGGATTCGTTTCTCTCTCTCGAACCCTAGTTTTTCCTTTGTGTCGCCGGTCGCCATGGGCCTTCGCCGCCACCTCTTTGCTCCTATAAAAGGACCCCCAAGCCCGCCGCTACCCGCCGCCACCCTCGCCTTCGCCTCTTGTCGTCAGTAGCGCCCTAGCATCGTGTAGCCTAGCGCCGCCGTCGCCGCCGCAGCTCCAGCCGTGCGCCGCCGTCGCTCCGGTCGTCGTCGCTGCTCGGGGAAGTCTCTGTCATGATCGCCGTCGCGTCGCAGTCTTCGTCCGCCCCTCCGCCGTCGCCGTAGGTCGCCGGAGCACCGCTATCATCGTCAAGCCGAAGGTTGCCGCCACTTCTTCCTCGACGCTGTCGCCGTCCGTTGATCTTCCGCCGCCGTTTTGGTCACCGGTGAGTTCGCTGCGTCTTTCTCTACGTGCTGGTGCCCTTCGTTCACGTCGTCGCACCGTCGTTCGCCGGTGAGCTTGCGCGCCCGAGCCGCCGCCTGTGGTGACGTCACCGCTGACGTTATCGTCGTCGTCGTCTCTCGTGGTCCGGCCGTGGACCGGTCGATCTCGGCCGTCCGTTTTGAATGGAAAGATCTCGGCCGTTCGTTTCCGTGAGCCGCCGCCGTGCACCCGGTCCACCGCAAACCCTAGCCGCTGACGCAATAAACCCCTTTTTCCTTTTCAAAAATAATTCATTATTGCGTCATAATTCAATTAAAATCCATATAAGTGATTTAATCCGATTTAATCTTTAAAAATTCATAACTAATTCATCTTAGCTCGGATTTAGTTGGTGCAAGTCTCTAAATTTTTCTAAAATTGAGATTTACATGTTAAAAATATCCACATGTACTGTTCATGCTTGTTTATGTGCTGTTTTGGTGATTTTGCTCCTTTCTGTTTAGATTCCGACGTTTCCGGAGAGTCCGTTTTCGCAGGAGAAGAATTTGAAGAGTTCCAAGGTCAGCAAGGCAGGTCACACAGATCCCAAACAACCCTTTGAGCATGTTGATCCCGTTTAAAGCTATTGTTTCTATTCAACAATTGCATTTATTTTCGAATGTCATTGGGTGGAATTAACCTATTGTTTGTTATAGCCCTTTTGTTCTTGATTACTTTATTCCTTGATACCTTGGGTTATTATAACTTGACTAGCTGGGCTTTATATATTGGTTCAGCTAGATATTAGATATGATTGCTTAGCCATGCTTAGAAACCTTAGCACACTATTGGGATAACTTATGATTCACTATTATTTAATGATGGCTTAATGATAGTTCACAATGGTCAATCGTGATTGGTTAATTAATTACTTGCCAACTAAAACTTGGTAATGGTGGGTTGTGAGCACATGGTTTTGAGAGTCGTGCTCATGACAATTAAGGACCGGTTCACGAGTTTCGGTTGTGAAACATTAACCGTGCCAACCACAAGCCAGCGTGGGCAACGGCTTTACCTTTTGTATAGCATGGTTCATTGCGGAGCACCAGACTGAGAAGTGGCGGAGATAAGCCCATGGGGGTCGCTGGGGAGTCCATGCCTTGTTTATAAGGGGGTGATTATGATCCAGGAAGGGTGCGCTGTGGTGGATTGTGTTGTGCGAGGGGTACTGTCACAGCTCCTTTCCGAGGTACCGTGGTGGTATTGAGGCACATGGTGACATGTTGTGGGGTTGTGTCTTGTGGGTACAGTGGTACACCTCTGGCCAGAGTAAAACTATTCGAATAGCCGTGCCCGCGGTTATGGGCGGGTCTAACAATGTCTTTCGTGATTAGTTTCACACTTCTCACTGTGCAGCCGGGATGGTTGTTCAGAATGGTTGGGCCTATGCAACAGAGTATGTTGTATAGTGTTGGATTAATATTGTTTAATTATTACTTAACTGTTTTATTAAATTCTGAAATGTTTATTAAATGCTGTTTATGCAAATGAAACCCTACTGTGCCATCCTTTGTTATCCTGTGTACTTGCATATTTGCTGCGTGGCTTGCTGAGTATGTCATATACTCACCTTGCAATCATTCATCAGAGCAAGAGTTCTACAGTGATGCTGATGGTGTGGAGGATTAGGTGTAGCCCTGGTCAAGCTGCCTGTGGAGTGGAGTCGTCTGCGCCGTTTATCTTTTTTTTTTCCGCTGCTTAGATTTTTATTGATTGAGAGGAACTATCTACCTCTGTAATGACATTTTATTCGCTTATTAATTAGTGTAATAATTGTACTCTATTATCAATTTGTTATTGTGTGCCTCGGCTGATTCCTGGACGAGAGTTCACACACATGTAAGCGTTTGGAATTTTGGATAGAAATTCCGGGCGTGACATCGATTTCCTCCCAAATCCGCTTCGGCCTTAACTCCAAATCCGATGTAAATTTACCAAATTTGATCATTAACAGTCGGGTAAGCTTTCAGTGTGTGTAGAGGGTACACACGATCTGAACAAGTTGCTCTAAAAAATCATACTAATCCATTTTTCAAAATATTTAAGCTAAAACTTAATTAAGCATGTGCTAATATGCTATCTTATTTTCTTTGTTGAGGGAAGAAGTTTCCAACCACCGCTACTGCACACAGCTAAGGGTGTTTTTCTCTCACCCATCACAAGAATTTCTCCTTCCTCGTTTTTCACCCTCACTTCCTGAACTCTCGTTTTTGCAAAAGGATGTCATAAGAAAGTTATTTAAAAAATCATATTAACGCTTATTAATCGTACGCTAAACCGTTATTTCGTTTTGCGTGTCAGAGGAAAAAAAGAGTTCACAACCCCTTCGAAACAACATAGCTTAAATGAGCTAACTATTTTGTTATCCATCCCTAGGGGCAGCATTGACTTTGAGGGATTGGGAAAAATATAAGTGGTTTAACATTTTTTTTAAGTGTGATTTTCTCATACCTTCTGATTTAAATAGTTCTATAAACTAAATACATGGCATATTACATTCATTTTACTGATACATCTATGCAGGCTATATTTACGTATAAATAAATACTTTTAGAATTTATTTATGGTTAGATTTATAAATTTTTAAAAATATATATATTTTTTGACCAGAGGGATTCTACTAAGGTGGGACTAGTAGCCATCGATTTCCAGTCGGTTAGAAGCTGAGAAAAGATGGCCTCTTGAACCCTTGGACCCCTTTTGATTTGTATGAAAAGTGTACCAAATTTGAATGATTTCAATCCTATGAAAAAATTCCTATAGAAGCCTTTGAAACAATGAATTGAATTCTATCCTATCCTTTTAAATTTATTAACTTTTTAAAGGAATAAAAAAAGGAGCCTCCACGTTCGCTCTCACGGCCTATAAATTATCATATTAATCGGAAAAAAAAATAGAGTCCATATATAAATACAATTTAGAAATAGTTGAAATTCGGAATTAAAAAATAAGGAATATTGGAAGAGGAGACTAGAGTCCATATAGAAATATAATTAAGAAATAACAGAAATTCGGAATTAAAAATAAGAAATGTTAGAATTAGAGTATACAGTCTATATAGAAATACAATTAAAAAATAATAGATATTTAGAATTAAAAATAAGGAACATTAGAAGTAGAGTATAGAGTCCATATAGAAATACAATTAAGAAATAATAGAAAATCGGAATTAAAAATAAGGAATATTAGAAGTAGAGTACATAGTCTATATAGGAATTTAAAACTAACTAAAATTCTGAATAAACATAATAAAATTAAAAGTAGAGTTTAGAGTTCGTATAAAAATAAAATTTACAAATAACTAAAATTCGAAATTAAAAAAAATGGGAAGAAGAGTCTAAAGTCAGTATAGGAAAACAATTTAGAAGTAACTGAAATTCGAAATTAAAAATTAAAGAAAATTGAAAGATAAATTTAGAGTCCACATAGAAATAAAATTAGAAATAATAAAAATTCAGAATTGAAAATAAATAATATTGGAAGAAGAGCCTAGAGTCTATATAGAAATACAATTTACAGATAACGAAAATTCAGAATTAAAAAAAGGAATATTAAAAGACGAGTCTAGAGTCCATATAGGAATATAATTTACAAATAAATAAAATTTGATAATATAAATAATTAATAACTAACACATATATAAAATACAATATGCATGTTACACATTAGTAGTTTCGTAAAGTTAGTACAAAATTTAAAATTATGTTGCTATTTTATTATATTTGAATAATACATTGAGAAAACATATATGCTATTATATGAGAGAAAATATAATGATGCTAGCAGCGCAATCTGCGCGGGCCGTTCCTATGAAATGGGTAATCATGTAGAGATATTTGAGGAAAGTTAGCAAAAGATTTAACATCTTAGAAAAATCGGATGTTTTTCTATGGTCCAATCTGATGATCATTACTATATTTTCCCTGTATTTATAATTCTATGTTTCACACTTAAATTAATCCTGTATTTTTTAATTGCTACGTTTTTTCCATTCGTGTGATTAAAGGGTGTGTTTGCTACCCAACTTGCACAGTAAACACGGAAAACGAAGTGGTCCATTAGCACGTGATTAATTAAGTATTTGCTATATTTTTTAAAAAAAAATGGATTAATTTGATTTTTTTTAAACAACTTTCGTATATAAATTTTTTTAAAAAACACACCGTTTAACAGTTTGAAAAACGTACGCGCGGAAACGAGGAAGATGGGTTAGAAAAAAGGGTTTGCAAACACACCCTAAGGAACCCTAATTTCCCTTTCCTCGGTTAGTTGAGCGAGTGCTCTCCCACCACCACAGCCACCCCCACCCACCAGGCCACCACTCCCCACTACTTTTCTTCCCCTCCTCTGCCTTCCCCATTCCCTCCCCACGTTCCCTTTCCCTTTCCTAGTCTTCTTCTCCGCCACTCCATCGGCAAGGAGGAAGATCTCGGAGGCGGTGCCCGGAGGAGGTGAGGCGAGATGGGCGGGCGGGTGGATCACGAGTACTCGTACCTGTTCAAGATGGTGCTGATCGGCGACAGCGGCGTCGGCAAGTCTAATATCCTCTCCCGCTTCACCCGCAACCACTTCTCCCTCGACTCCAAGTCCACCATCGGCGTCGAGTTCGCCACCAAATCCCTGCAGGTCACCGCCCGCTGCATTCCTTCTCCCCCTCTCTTCCCTTCGATTATATTTTGCAAATGTTCCTACGCGCGCGCTCGTCTTTCCTACATTGGATGGTCCCTGCTAGTCGTCGTGCCGATCCCAAACCACCAGATCTTGGCCTTCTGATCTGGATGGGCGAACGATCCCGCCATGATTGCGTCCCCCCAATGACAGCTGCTCGCCTGACGAGTTCTTTCTTGTGGATGGAAGGCTCTCACTTTCGACTAGTTGGATCATCTGCGTGTCTCAAAAAGATTATTGATGAACCATCTGTTCAAATGTTGCAAATGCATTGTTCAATTCATTTCCTTGTCTTGCCAATCAGGTAGTGGTCACACTAGTCGTTCACTTGATTTACTGTGACATCACCCGTCCTTCAAGTTACTTACAGTTTTTGTGAATGCTATATTCGCTTCTTTTTAAAAAAAAAATGGATCACATTATTGGTTGGATGATGGAGTGATTGATAGGATGATATGCCAGCTACTTCCTCTGGTATCTATGTGCTATCCCGTCTGTCCTTGAGTGTTAGGTGAAGCAAGACTGTCATATGTTAAGATTTCCCTTGTCATCTGTGCCAGCTTTTCTTTTCCGCTTTTCTCGTCACACTAATTCCTCGATCTCATTAATATTTTGGCATGATGACATTGTATTCAATATTTTATTGTTCTATTGAAAAGCCACTTTTGTGGTTGAACAGGACAGACAGCTACTATACCAAGGGCCTGTTCACTTTGATGCTAAAAAAAACCTTACCAAATTTTGGCATAGCAAAGTTATCAAAATTTTGGTAACTTGCATTTTTTATATAGTTATCAAAATTTAGTAGTAAACTAAATGTAACCACTTTTTTGGTAACTTTACCAAAATTTGGTAAGGTTGAAAATGGCATCAAAATGAACAGGCCCAAGCCCAAGTACTGCGTCAGGGACTTACTAAGTCTGTATGATCATGCATTTATTAGTCCAGCCAGCTATTCTTTGGTATCTTATTGTAATTAGCCTTGTTAGCAGATGGAGGGCAAAACAATAAAGGCTCAGATCTGGGACACAGCAGGACAGGAGAGATATCGTGCCATCACAAGTGCTTACTACCGTGGCGCTGTTGGGGCTCTCCTTGTTTACGACATCACAAAGAGGCAGAGCTTCGACAATGTCCACAGGTGGCTTCGTGAGCTCCGCGACCATGCCGACTCGAGCATTGTTATCATGATGGTCGGTAATAAGTCTGATTTGATTCATCTAAGGGCTGTCTCCGAGGATGAAGGTAAGGCATTGGCTGAAAAGGAGGGGCTGTTTTTTCTTGAGACATCAGCTATGGAGGCCGTGAATGTGGAGGAAGCCTTTCAGACTATCATCACAGAGGTCTATGGCATTGTTAACAGGAAAGCACTGGCCGCCAAAGAAGCAGCTGCTGCTTCTGCTCCGCTGCCTTCCCAGGGTAAAACTATCAGCATTGACAGCGCTGCAGGAAACACAAAGAGGGCATGCTGCTCTGCTTGATATGTACAATGGAGCGTTCAACATCATATTGTAGAGAGCCAGGTGTGAGATTCGCGGGTAGACTCGGAGCATAGTGATCTTAAATGGTTTGGAGGCAAGTCCTACTTTTTTTTTTTCAGTTGCGTGAACATTCCAGAGTGCCTAGCTGCAGTTGCAGTTTGTTCAGTGTTTCCTAATCAAAAGTTAGATGTGTGTATTAGGATTCATTCCATTTCCGTTCTGATTATACAACGCAAACTATAGCTGCAATATATCTCAGATTATACAATTCAAACAATATGTGAGCTGCCATCTAGTCCCGCCTTGCTTAAGTTTGTACTTTCTATCTACTAAGTAATTTGGTTTTCTTAATAAACTGTGCGGCCCACATTGCTGCGGTGTCATAAAATTTGTTGCATATTGAACTGAATCATGCTCGCATGCTTCATGAGAATAAAGGGTGATGGAATTATTTAGTAGTAGTAGGTTGGTGGTTAAATTTTGTAGAGAAAATTCCTCACATGAACATGAGTTTTCGCGCAATACCTTTTATGCCTCTTAATTCTGTTGTATTCCTTATATGCCCTTGAGTTTTCTTTTATCTGATCCCATTTCGCCCGTTGACCGTTAACCCTTTTTTTCTAAATGACCATCTTGCTCTCTCTTTACTCTATGTGGTAGCTTAATAAGAAAATACAATTCTCAATTATGAAAAGAATCATTTGTAAGAACAATGAAGGGGATATAATTATTTGACCAGAAATTTGAAAACTGGAATTTATTTTTTTTAAATAAATTTCAAATCAACTTTGATAAAATCTGTACAATATTTTCATTAAAATTTAAACCTGCACAACAAACAAATATGGTTTCAATTTCCTGGTGAAACTCTTGTATGGATTTAAAAAAATTTAATTGTATGAAACTTTAAATTATGTATTTCAAATTTGCCGTCACATAATTCTATCATATTTGGTGTCATTACAAATTTACTTCTTTTCCCACATTGACAACTATGTTTTAAAGTAGGTAACACAAAAGCATGAGATTAATAAAGGGTCAATATTTTCATTTAAGGAAGTCTAATGGTCAACTAATGATCCACTAACGTCTAACGAAATGTGTATAAAGGGATAAAATGAAAACTGGGCATAGCACAAAATTCACGGTATCGAAAGAATAGTATGGAAACTCACGAGCACATAAAGATTTGCCCTATTTCTTATATGATCTTAATGTCATAGTTATGAGTTGTATGTGTCAACTGGTTGATTATATATGCTTATTAGTTGGCACAGTGGACTAATGATGTAATCTCTTGTTAGTATTAGTGAGCAGGGATGACTGGACACAGCCACCTTTATTCCTTCATTATTGATTAATTAATCCTGTGCACAAGTTCGGCTACAAACTGCATGTCAAGTACATTTTAGCGTATCTACCGTTTTTTTTTTTTTGTTGTCTAAAATATAAAATCAGTGGTTACGGATTCACATGCATCGCTCCTTCCGATCAAGATCCAAATTATCACCTATAAGACCGGTATTGAAACACAAATGCTAGGATATTCCAAATTCAAATTTATATTTGTATAGTTTTCTATTTAAAATAATAGTAATGATGGCGTGTGATGAATTTACCATCCACCTCAACACCAACTCCCCACCTTTCTATAGTAGAGAAAGGTAATCTGAGGTTAAAGAGCCCAGATGTCAATCACTACCAACGCTCTATTTTTTGTTGGAAGGAAAAAGAAGACAGTGTAGGACTAGAGTGCCTACATGTTAGTAAAAAAGTTAGGAAAAAAGCTATACAGAAAATAACGGTAATAACATATTATCAGGGTAATGGATAAGACATACCTTATATACGTGGGTTCGTGGTAACATACGGATACCATGTGCCTACAAGTATACATGAAGGTGATCTTGAGGTAAGGAAATATCGTGATATGGAAGAAAATTATCTCCCCGAGTAGAAGGTGTAATAATCCTACTCAGAGGAGATAAGGTCTGTCTAGTTCTAGAGAAGAAGGTAGTCTATGTTATAATACCTCCTAGCTCAGGGAGGATCATCGAATTTTAAGCCATAGCCACCAGCCACGTTGAGATATACCCAAAGGAAGCTGAAGCCTATTCGTCGACTAGATCTCGCTAAGCTGTTCTCGGCGGATCCTAGTTGGCGGATTAGGATAGTCAATTTATTTCCATTGTAATTGTGATATTCCCATCCATAATCCCATATAATATGGATTATGGCTATTACCTTATGAGAGACCTAAACCAATATAAATCCTTGTCCCACTTGCTTGATACACTTTCGCATAGGCCTTAGCACCATCGTTCCCCAATACTTCCGAATACCATAGACGCAGTATAACCCACTGACAGTGGCGCGTCAGGTAGGGGAATTTGGTGCAAAAGGTTCAAACGAGATGGCTTCAAGCTCAAGATCTTCCGACGAGAACATCCACAACCGTCCAAGCTTGGGAGATCCAACCCAACAAGCGTTTACGTGGATGCAAGTTGGATTCATTGTCTTCCCCATCTACATAGCCGTGTCGATCTCGCCTTCCCCAACAACTATTAGGATCGAGATCGCTTTGACGAAGTTGACGGAGAACAACCCTCAGTTGACTACCTTTCTCGGCCAATCTAAGAGGGAGGCACCAATGACATCAGCTTCGCGGCGAACTCTCAAGTAATCTCCAGGAGCTAGATGCTGACAAGGACAACACGACGAAAAGATGTCACGCCCAGAAATTCACGAACCAGAATTTCTAAGCTGAATGTGTATTAAACCCCTGTCCAGGACCAGCCAGGGTACACAAACGACAATTGTTGACATACAGATCCACGTCTTACAAAAATATAAAAGATTACAAATGCAGCGGAAAAGAAAAAACGAGCTAGACTTGGAAACTTGACTTCTGCAGCGGGGCGACTCCACTCCACAGGCAATCCTTGACGGCAGCGACGAAACCAACTTCGACCAGACAGCTCCCACTAGGAAGATCTTCAGCTCTGGTGTGGGGGAAAAGAGAGCAAGACTGAGTACTACCCACTGTACTCAGCAAGTCATACCGGAAGAGGAGGTATAATGCAGGGTATATCCAAGGGAGGCTAAAGGTTCTTTTGCATAAAGCTAGCATTTAAAAACAGTTGTTGAAAGCAGTAAAACAACTGTAGTGATTTATCAATATTAACCAATCACTGTCCAACGCTACACCACGTTGCAACAGGACCAAACCCCTCCTGAACTAACCAGTTCCATTAGCTAACTAGGGGTGAGACTAATCACGGTGAATCTGGTCGACCGCCCATAACTGCGGGCACGGCTATTCGAATAGTTTTACTCTGATCAGAGGTGTACAACTGTACCCACAAGACACAGCCCCACGACACGTTCCTGTGCGCCGACATGCCACCACGACATACCGGAAAGAGGCCGTGACAGGACCCTTCGCATAACCCCCTCTAACCGATCGCACCACACCTTAGGGTTCGCCCCCGTCCCCAGCAGGCAACGGGCAGCCCCCCTTTCATGCCGCGGTGAATCCGGAAGCCGATCAACCGGACACCCCAGCCGACCCAACTCCATCACGCCCACCCTCGCCTGGGTACATCGGCTAGAGAAAAGCTACAGTACAAGCCCAGCCGTTGCCCACGCTGGCTTGTGGTAAGCACGATAAATTCTTCCAGGGTTTCCCGCGAACCGGTCCTTAATCGCCATGGGCACAACTAGCAAAACCATGCACCCACAGCCCACCATGTAGTGTATTTTAATAAGCCAACACCATTACGGTGGCACTAATCCAAAGCTATTGCCAAAAATCAAAGTCTATGCTTTAATGTGATTCCCTTTTTGTGTACTAGTAGAACTAAGCATGGCTAAGCATTTCCTAAACCAACATCTAGTCATTTTAATACCCGAGTTAGCAATGGCATAAGGTAAATAATAATATGGCTGAGTAGTAGGACCCATCCCACGTGATATTGTAAAACGATGCAATATTTAATAGAAAAGCGGGACATTTGTAAATTGGGTACAATATGATCGATTATAATGCATGACTTGCCTTGCTCTCGCACTGATGAGACCACAGCAACGTCTTTGAGAAACCGCGGATCGACGAAACGGCCGAAATCTACACGACAAACAAAGCACACAAGCAAAACAGGCTATAAGACTACTGAAACAGGAAACAAAACTATTTTTAATGGATTCTATGCATTTTTATGAATTTACTGAGACTTGAATGGACTTAATCGGAGCTCGGATGAATTAGATATGATTTTTAGAAGATTATCTGTGTTTTTACTAATAAAGAAAATGCCTTAATTAATTACTGCGCAATAAATCTCCAGGGCTGACGTCATCAAGGGAGGGGGCGCCGACATGCGGGCCCCACTCGGCAGCGGCTCAAGGGGAGAGAGAGGGAGGGGGTACTGGCAGGCGGGGCCCACCGGGCGGCGGCTCAAGGGGAGGAGGTGGCACCGGCCGGGCTCGCCTCGGCTCCAAGCCGGCCGGCCGGTTAGGCGAGCGGCGGTGGCAAGCGGCCACCGACGGCGGCGACCGGCGAGAAGACGGCGGCGGCCGGCGACGCGCATGCGGGGAGCGGCGGCGCGCGCGAGAGGAAGAGAAGGGGAGGGAGTTCTCACCGGGGTTCGGCCGGCGCAGGAGGAGACGACGACGAACGGCGACGGTGAGCGACCGGAGGGCGACGGCGAACGGCGGCCGAGCTCCAGGACACCCTAAGAGAGGAAATGAGAAAGGTTAGAGGGAGAGAGGGTGTCCACGCCGAGCGAGAGCCATGGCCGACGGCGGCGGCTATGGAAGGGCTCACCGGCACGCGACGAACGGCTGGCTCCGATGACGGAATTCGACAGAGGAGGGGTGGACGAGGTAGCCCTCGGCGGTGCGAACCCGAAGATGACGACGACGCGGCTCGGCGGCGGCGAGCGGCGGCCGGAGGAGCGGGAGCGGCGGCGGCGGATGGGTGCGCGGCGCGGGAGCGATGCAGAGCACGAGAGAGTTCGGCGAGATGGGGAAAAAGAGAGAGGGGGTGGCGGTGGAGCTTAAATAGGGGAGGGGGAACTCGGACGTGGCCGGTAGGGGCGGGATTCGCCGGCCGACGTGGGGAGGTCGAGAGAGAGAGTGGAAGGGGATTCAAAATTGAATCCGCCCCTTGCGAGCGCGCGCGCGAGAGCGGGAGAGGCGGGGGAGAGGGCGGCGACATGGGTGCGAGGTGGGGGCGCGGAGTGGAGGCGTGATGTGGAGCAGAGAAGGCGGCGGCGTGGGGCGGTTGGAGCTCCGGCTCCAACGGCTAGAGGAGGAAGACGACCGATAGGTGGGCCCCACCTGTCAGCGCCCGAA